TAATATTATTTAATATTATTTAATATACTCTAACAATTCGTTGTAACTGCAATGACACAGTTTAAAAATAGAAAACGAAAAGACAAGCGAATATATGCAAGTCTCATAATTTCTTTTGTTAAAAGTTCGATTCGATACACTGTAGCCAACCCGGAATGACTTTCGATCGAGGAATCGAAATTCGGTCAATGGATGCATTAACGCGTGCAATTGGTTCCCGGAGGCATTAGAATTTATTTCTACAATAACGTGTGCCGTTAACAGGAGACGAGTTCCATTAAATTTCGCGGCAGCCAATGCCGGTTTATGGATACATTGTGTAACGCTACGTCACTCCGTGAGAATAGATTGCCGTGACTTACATTTATTCCGGGAACAATGGAAACTAATTTCAAATTTGTAATCGCCCCGAGTCAATGAACGTTTTCCAAATGCATACATATCGGCTCCGACAGAGTGCAATTAATAAAATGCAGATTACAAAATTGCATCGCTGCAATAATTATTTAGCAATTGTTCGCGGTCTACCGCTGCATTGATTTGTCCGTGTAACGAATATAAATATTCGAAGGAATATTCGAATAAATATTCGAAGGAATATTCGAATAAATATTCGAAAGAATATTTGAATAAATATTCGAAAGAATATTTGAATAAATATTCGAATAAATATTCGAATAAATATTCGAATAAATACTCGAATGAATATTCGAATAAATATGCGAATAAATATTAGAATACAAATTCGAACGAATATTCGAACAAAATTTGTTCCTTTCGAATTAGATATTCGAATAGAACTTGTATTCTAATCTTTTAGTCGCTGTTTAACACGATTTTAAATGCGTATTAATAATCTGTCACATATTATTCGCAGCCCGCGTTCAAATTCGTTTAATTTCAGCTTTCATTTCGAGTTTCAATTTAAGTTTCGATTTCGAATTTGATTGAAGCTTTCCCCTAAGCTTTTATTTAAGTTTCGATCGAACTTTCAATTTAAGTTCCGCGCGAAGTTTTCATTTAACTTTCAATCGAAAACCCTTAATTTCACCTTTTAATTTAAGTTTTTATTTAAGTTTTAATCGAAACACGCGGACGGTTCGCGAGAGATCAGCGTGCAAATTAGTCGCACGGAGGCGCGGAAAGAATATTTATTTGCGCGGACAAAAGAAGAAGAAGAACAAGAAAAAAAAAGAAGGAAAACGGAAGCCCGGACGCGACAGGAACGAAACTGATCGTGGGGCTGTTGCTGCTTTAGATTTGTACAGTTTGGTAGGAAAACGAGCGATAAAGCTCGGCCAGGTGTACGAGCGTGCCCGGGATACTGGATTTCCGATGGCGCAATGTGACACCGGCCTGTCTCGTTTCAGGCACGAACTTATTCAATTAAATCCTGGCAAGTCGGCGCGGAAGTTTTCGAACTACGGCCGAACGAAAGTCGTTCGGAACTACAGAAAGGGAATTCCCGGCGACGCGCGCTGTTCGTCGTTTCGTTTGTTCCCCGCCGAAAATGGCAACGTGCGAAGTCGACGCAGCGTTGCCGAGAATTTTCAGGGCTCGAAGATACTCCTTGATCCCGAGGAAATGTCGTAGCCAGGCATCAAGAAACATCGTGGAAAAAACTAACAAGCTTCTCGGCAATTCGATATTTTCTGCTGAATTATATATTATTATATTATTTTATTATTATATTATTATATTATTACATTTTAATTAAACCGAAGTACCAAATTATGGCAGTCTCTGTAGAACCGATAAGGACACCGTTTATTTTATTTAACGTTATCGTAACAATGATGCCATGGTAATTGTTTATAATATAATCTAATTTATTATATTATTTATTATATTTATTATATTATACATATATTATGTATAATATATATTATTATATATTATATATGTTATTATATATTATATATATTTTATATAATTTTTTTATTTACAATTTATTTTATATTATTATTATTATTATATATTATTTTCCTCTGGATAAGAATAAAAACTTCGTCGCATTGAAAAGAGCTGCCCGATTGCAATCGACACATAAAATTAATGCCCACGAAACATTCAGAAACAATGACAATTTTTCTTCGTTAAAAATTGTCACGATTCTATTAAACACCAACAAAATAGAGAAATAAAATCATAATAATCTTCCTTTCCACAGTTTTCTAGCGCGTTCATCAACGTAATTATTAGTCTCGGCAAACGTGAAATTACGAATTTGATTAAACGTTGCTCCGGGCACCGTATCGATCATTTACCTCGACGTAATTAAAACCATCGTAATTAGAAAGGAAGTGCGCACGGGGTCCCGAGTCCGCGAGTCCCCCGTGTCTTCGAAACATCGTCGCGCTAACGAGTGCAACATTCCATTAAAATTACCACATTCCGTCGGCGATCGAAGCGAGTCGTTGCGTTTCATCGATCAACGTCCCGCGCGAAGAAAGAAAGAGCGGGGGGCAGGGGAGACGAAAGAAAAGGGAAGCTCTTGCTCGCCGAAAGAAAATCCATCATTCGATCGGAATAATCCCAACAGCAAACACCGACATCGCACGCAAACGGTACAAGCCAAAAGGAAAATCAATCAGCGGCAAAGAAAAGAGAAGAATTGACGGGGTTGCTGCAATTAAACGAGCACAGCTCCGTTACGAAGCCAATTTAACCTTTTATCGAAGTTTTAGGTGGACCATCGAAAACCCAGTGAAAATCAGATACCGTTCGCAGCAACAGTTTCCAAATCTTGTTCGAGCGAAACTTCATTAGTTAATTGAACGTTCTAATTCTTCGTTGAACATTCGATTCTTGGTTGAACATTTAACTCTTTATTGAACGTTTCATATTTAATTGAACATTCAATTCTTAATTGAACATTTGATTTTCCAGTGAACGTTCAATTCTTAATTGAATATTTAACTTTTCATCGAGCATTCAATTCTTAATTGAACATTTGACTTTCCATTGAGCATTCAATTCTTAATTGAACATTTGACTTTTCGTCGAACATTCAATTCTTAATTGAACATTTGAATTTTCATCGAACATTCAATTCTTGATTGAACACTCAACTTTTCATTGAACATTCAACTCTCAATTCAACCGTTCAATGTAACATAACTCTCTAGTCTCTTCATCGCATTGAACATAATCTCGAAACACATGAAACCTGACTCCATTTCTCATCAAGTTTCCGCTCGATCTTTCACCAACGAAACAAAACAGAAGTGTAACAAAGTGTAGAGCTGTTTCGTAATTGCCGCAAACCCTTCGATCGCGAAAATCGACTTGCTCGACAAGACGTGTCCCAATCGAACGTCGCCTACTTTATCGCACGTCCGCGCCGATATCACCGTCATCAGCTTCCGACAAAAAACTGAGTCCCGGGCGAACTTGTCGCCAGCGAGAAGCATCTGCGAAAACGTTTCGGTGACTTCGGTAACGGGCGTCGAGAAATGGCGGAGAGCTTGCCTCGGCGTCGCTATAGTTCGCGTAATAGTCCGTGCGTCGCTATAGCTCGCTCGTGGCTATAGTGGCTATAGTTCTCGCGCGGATATAGCTCGCGCGTGGCTACAGTTGGCACGTGGCTATAGCTCGTGCGTCACTATAGCTCGCGCGTGCTTATAGCGCGCGTGGCTATAGCGGCTATAGTTCTCGCGCGAATACAGCTCGCGCGTGACTACAGTTCGCGCTTGACTATAGATCGTGCGTGGTTATAGCGGCTATAGTTCTCGCGCGAATACAGCTCGAGCGAAGCTATAGTTCGCGCGTGGCTATAGTTCGCGCTTGGCTATAGCTCGCGTGGCTATAGTTCGCGTGGCTACAGTTCGCGCGTGTCTATAGCTCGCTTGTGCCTACATCTCGTTTGCGCCTATAGTTCGCGCACACCATAGCTCGCGAATCAGCAAACATCGCATCAACGCCGGCGACATTCAATCAGGACGCGTCTCGGTGCAGCCGATCGATCGGATCTCGCGCGCACGATGTAGAAAAATCCCGAGACGAAGAGAGCGAGAGAATAAGAGAGCAAGATCGAGAAAGAGAGACAGTGAAACAGAGTAAGAGAGCGAGAGCGAGAGAGAGAGAGAGAGAATGGGGGGAAGGAAAAGGCGGTCAGGAGTAAAACGGAAAGAAGCGTTCCCAACCACGACAGTAGAAAACTCACACCGAGGCACACGTTTGTAAGCTTGCAGAAACTCAATGTACCTAACAGGGGTATCGCGTCGGAGACCTGGGGCAGGGTCTCGGCGACGAGGTTCAGGAACACCGTCAGCGATAACAAGATGGTCACTCCTGAAACAGTCGTAGCCCAGCGTGCTCAATGATCCATTCCGTATTCGCGTTCCGTAGCAAGTAAGCCGACGATCGTGCTCACCCATTGGCACGAGCGTCGTCCCTCGACTCTTCCTGCTGGATCGTCCAGACGGCTGACAATCCGGGGATCAAGACCGTAGGTGAATCCCCGGGTTTTAAAACAGCCGCCCGATAAGGTGAAGAATGGGGATCGGGGCGGGGTGGAGGCTTTTCTCTACGGATCGAGTGTCTGATATCCGAGAGAGAGAGAGAGAGAGAGAGAAGACACACAGAGAGAGAGAAAGAGTGATAGAGAGAGACACACAGAGAAAGCGAGAAAAAGAGAGGAGGAGAGTAAGAGAGAGATTGAAAGAGAGAAACGGAAATAGCGAAAGAGAGAGAGAGGGGGGGATTCGATTGATCTTAAACCGCCGGCGCTACGGGAATACTCTTTAACGTTGAACGAGATTGTTACATCCTCGTCGTTGGCGCACGGATCGTCGGGACAAAGACACGGAAGGCGCTCCGCCCTTCTTCCGGTTTGTTTCATCGCCGATCGGATCGGTTCTTGAGGATCGTGGGCGGTTAGGACGGAGGCCCCGACATTGAGATTCAACGTTGTGTGCGCGCACTTTTGCCTGCTTGCTCAGGGCGGCGCAAGCGTCACGGTACAGCCGGGGAGACGGCGAGCCTCGCAATTAGAGGGAGATTAACACGTTTGCTGCCGGAGGGGTGTCACTAGGGTGCGCAGGTAGAGTTATGCACTCAGAAGTTACAGTTATGTATAAGATATCGAGAGTACGGAATAACTGTTTCTTTTTTAGAACTGGACTCTAAGTGAGTTGAATATCTTTTTTCCGATCAGAATGCTGTTTAATTTTGCTATCACTTGGCACGACAGAGAAGAAATAGAAATCATAGGATAAAAAAGTTGAGAAATGGGAGTGAGTTTCTTTATTTTTTCGATGTCTCTTCAAGAAATAGCAAAATTGAAAAAAAATGCATTTTGGTCATCGTAGACTGGCCCCGTTAGCCTTGCAGCCTGCTTTTATAAGTCCCAATTGTTGAAAATTACAAAAATAAGCCGCGGGGCTCGAATACTGTTATTTCTCCCTAATTCGCGCTCAGATTGCGCACAAGAATGAACAATTTTGGGAAGAGTAGAAACGATTGCGAAATTACTGTATATCAACCTTGCGGTTCGTTTTTATAGGTGTGGAGAATTTAACTATAAATAACTATACCGCTCGAACAATCGCACCTCTCCTCTTCCCAAAATTGTTCACTTTTGTGTTCCAATCTGCGAGCATCGATCAGGAAGAATTTACCGTATCGCCCGTCCAGTAATTGGTGCAGCATACACGCGTGCACGCGCGAGTTCTCCAATTGCTCGTCGTCGTCGTCGTCCCGCTGATCCAAGGCCGCGCGTGATCACTTACTTGAGAAATCGGCGACGTTGAAGAAGAGCGATCTTCGCGACATCGATATCTTTCCTCTGGTTAAGGAGCTTGGCAACGAACGACATCTTTCCAAAATGTCCCTGTAACGACGATCGATTCGACGATCGGAAGAGCATCGACGACTTTCGACGACACCGTTGATCCGACATCGAGAACAGAGGGTGGACATTTTTAACAGACTTTCGAGAGCACCATGCTGACGCATGGAATCGTCGAGCGACAATTGCTGTGCAACAAATTCCGTGGAAACTTTGTTCCGAATTTGTTCGAAGAATTCGATGTACCTATACAATAAAATTCGTGGGCTTTGAGATCGGACATCGATTATGTAACTCTCTGTACCTGTATGCAACGTCGATAGCCTTTGAAATCAGCCATTAATTGTTTAATTTTTTGTGCACAACTTTTCTGTGTACAAGATCACACAGGCTTTAAAATTCGGATATTAATTACTATCTATAATTCTCTCTGTATCTGTACGAAATAGATAGACTTTTTAGAATCGGATATTAATATATTAATAGTAAATAATAGTAATAATATTAATTATAATAAATATAATATATTAATATATATAATAGTAATAATATATATATTATATATATATATATATATATATATATATATATAATATATATATTATTACTATTATATATATTAATATATTATATTTATTATAATTAATATTATTACTATTATTTACTTATATATACATATGAGTAAATAATAGTAATAATATTATATATATACATATATATATATATATTATTTACTTATATATAATTCTTTGCACCTGTATAAAATAGACGGGTTTCAAGATCGGTTATTAATCGCGCGATTTTCCAGGCTATGCAACCCTTTCGCTGGAAGCGCTATGCCACGAGAACGAAGTGCTCGAGATCCAAGTCAGTTATGTGCTTCCCACACCGTACGAAAAAACGACGATATTGATGCTGGTCATGTTGTCACTATTGCGAATTCGTTTAGAGATCCTCCCACCGAGTTTCACGAGTGTTCATAATCGCATAAACGTCTATAATGCGAAGTTCTTCGTGGCGTTCGACGCAGAAGACGGGGGCTTTGAAAGTGTATAAATTTATTAACAGGAGCGCCTTCGTTAATTTTCCCTCGAATTGGGAAATTTTGTCGTAGGAAATGAACTCTCATTTTAATGAAACGTCTAACAACGACGGTGCTTCGACAAGCATACCTCGTTGTTATATTATATTGTTTCAATGTTAGAATTTATTAGTAACAGACGTTCGTTAATGCTACAACCCGCGTTTTTTTCTTTTTGTTGTAAAATATGAGCCGACGTCTGCCTTCGATTATCATATAACACTTTGAAACGTTAAAGTAAAAATTTCAAAACATTCTCATAATGTTGAGGTTAGAAGACCATCATGATCTCTGATAGAATATTATATATATAAAAAATAATATGAAATAATATATGTTATACATCTGTAATATATATAATATTATCTATATTATAATATTATACAATAATAATAATATATTATATTATATTATATTATAATATTACATAATAATAATATATAATATAATATAATATTATATACTATATATGATAATATTATACAATATTATATCGTCAAGCTGCAATATTATAATCGATATTATAATATTATATAATAATAATATAGAGTATATAATATTATATTATACATGTATAATATTTAATATTATAATATATATATATATATATATATATATATATATATAAAATATAATATTATATACTATACATGATAATATTATACAATATTCTATCGTCGAGCCGCATTTCACAGCGGAACCGCTACAAATTCCCGTCGCATCGGCCGTCCCGGCCGATCAATTAGGGAAACGACGAGTAGAAAGGGCGAAATCATGTTCCGCGGCGACGATTTTCAGCGCATAAATGTCGCCGAGATATCACCGCAGAGCACGGGAGAGACTAATTACGTTTTTTCTTCCTCTCTTCTTCGCCGGACTGGATGGAATTATGAATAATATAGACGGTACAGAGAGGGGTAGAAGGTTGGGGGGGTTGGTTCCGTGCAACAAGACGAGCTCACCGCCGCCGAGGTTACGGCCGCGGTGGTAGTTTTATCCGGGGGTGGAAACTATCCCCGCGACCGTATTATTCCTCGGCGTCCGCATTCCTTTTTTGAATCTTAATGCCCGCAAAAAGAACCCGATATTATTCAGCCGGCGCTGAAAGAACGCCGTTCGCCCGCCGACAATTTCTTGCTCCCGCCGTGTTAACCCGACGCGGCCGAAACCATGCGATATTTACGGGGAACGCGGTTTTTCCGTCGTCTTCGTTATAACGACGACGGCGCACCGATTTCGGAAGCGCCGATATCGAGTCGAGGGTGGTTCGCGATTAATTGCGGCCGTTTCTGCGGAACGGATTACACGCTCGTTTTTTGCGCGACTTCGATCGCGCGTCGCGGAACGCGTGCGGCGCCCCGTCGCGTTTCTTTGGAGCGACGCGACGCGACGCCGCGTCGAAGCGCGCCGACTGGCTGCCGCCATTTCGCCGCGGATCGCATTTATTAGAAACGGCGACCGGCTCCGTAAGATCTCGCGACATCCAGCTCCAGCAAGAGATAAAAGCCGGAAAAACGAAGTGAATTCGAGCGGTGATGACGCGGGGGTGGCGGGCGCGGGGCTGCTCCGACGGTTAAGGGAGAAAAAGAACTGTGGAAATAGAACGGGAAACGACGCGACAATTAAATTGCGGGGAAAGGCTGGCGCGGAACAATGAATTGTTGTGATGAGAATATCGGGAGCCAGAGGGAACTGACTAATTGAAGGGAATGGTAAAACTACGAAAAAAGTCCGGCAATTGACAGCGGTACTGGCGTCTATTAAAATGGTTTTTCAGGATGCCTTCATTTTCTCGCCCGGCTAAATGTCTGGCCCACTTAAATCGTTCCGCGGACTCTTACGATTTTTTTCGATCGGATTACAACGTATCGTTCGGAATTGCTAAATTTCGTTGCATTGCTAAAATATATATGGCTCAGAGAAATTTATGCAGGGTATCCCGTAATTATTGTTATAGCGGAGGGGGCATTCCTGAGGCCATTTCAAGTCACTTTTTCCTTTGCGAAAATGCAATCCGAGGCATCGTTTACGAGTTATTAACGAAAAACACTGGCCAATGAGAGGCGAGCTCGACTGGCGCGAGGCGGTCGAGTCAATCAGCGGAACTGAGCGTCGTGCGCTGGTTGGCTCGGCCGCCGCGCGACAGCTGAGCTCTCGCCTCTCATTGGTCACTGTTTGTTCTTCAATAACTCGTTAACGATGCCTCGGAGAACATTTTTGTAAAGGAGAAAGTTGCTCCGATTGACCTCAGGAATCTTTAATTGCCCGGAGGTGCCATAATTTTGGGATACCGTGTCTCACCGTCCCCAATTTCGAGGGGTGAAAAATTAAAAATAACAAGAAAGCGAATAACAACTGTATTAATATATGATAAAATTATGCTAAGTGAATATTTCAATCATTTTGAAAATTCGTACCCAT